AAGATGCAGCCTATGAAGCTATCTGCAGCCACTGCAGCATGAGTTCAATCCCCGGCCAGGGAGCTACACACATGGTGCAGCAGACTTCTCCTGACTCGCCTGCTGCTCCCCTCAGCAGTGTCTTTCAGTCATCTGCCTGTTCTGTTCCCCACTCTGTCTCTGGTGAATCCTCTCACCCCCCACACCTCTGGCCTATACCCCAGTTCTTGTATGCATAAATAAATAAATCTTTAAAAAAAAAAAGGAAAGGCTAGTCCCTTATCAATTATCTCCTCCTTTGTTAAGTATGCTGTCTGGGATATATGGACAGTGAATGGATGAATTACAGACCAGGTAACTTTTATGAGAAGTATGGTAGCTTCTAATATGGACCCCAATGAAACTTGCCTCCTGGAGTTCATGCCTTTATGTTATCCCCTCCCATATTTTTTTTAAAGATTTTTATTTATTTATGCATACAAGAGCTGGGGTAGAGGCCACAGGGGGCTGAAGAGTGAAAGGATTCACCAGAGACAGAGTGGGGAACAGAACAGGCAGATTGACTGAAGTACACTGCTGAGGGGAGCAGCGGGTGAGTCAGGAGAGATCTGCTGCGCCATGTGGGTTGCTCCCCGGCTGGCCGGGAATCGAACTTGTGCTGCAGTGGCTGCGGATAGCCTCATAGGTTGTGTCTTAACCCTTGCGCCACCAGGGAGATCGTACTGATTTACGAGATCAGTAGAAGGTTGTGGAACTGATAAAGGATAACTTTCAAGGCATTGCAGTTCTGTCTTGGAATCTTCTGTCATTCATTTTGGGAGGAATCTAGTCACCTTGTCTTGATGCTTAAGTAAGGTGAAATCCACATGGGCAGGTACTGAGGCCTCCTTCCAACTGCCAGCCACATGAGAGAGTCACTTTGGAAATGGATGCTCCAGCTCCAGTCAAGCTTCCAGATGAGTGCTGTCCTAATCAAGACCTGACTGCAACTTACGAGAGATAGCAAGCCAGTCTCTCTAGCATTCTCAACCCACAGAAATCATGAGAATAACAAATTGTTCATGTTTTAAGATTCTAAATTTTGGGAAGATGTTTTAAGATACTGAATTTTGGGGTTTTCCTATAACAAGTGAGTCTCATTTCACACTGGGCAAGTAATTGAGCTCTATACTAAACATTATACTGTGCAAGCTCATTAGCTGGTCTTTCACTAACAAACATGGGCCTCCCTGGTGGTGTAAGAGGTTAAGTACAGCACTGTGAAGCTATCTACAGCCTCTGCAGCAGGAATTCAATCCTTTGCAGCAGGAGTTCGATCCCCGGCCAGCCAGGGAGCTACCCACATGGCGCAGCAGACCTCTCCTGGCTTGCCCACTGCTCCCTTCAACAGTGTATTTCAGTCAGTCTGCCTGTTCTGTTCCCCACTCTGTCTCTGGTGAATCCTCTCACCCCCTGCACCTCTGGCTTGTACCCAACTTTTTGTATGCATAAATAAATCTTAAAAAAAAAACCAACCAAAGAAAGGATGTCCTCCTTCACCACTCTTAGTCAACATATTGCTGGAAATTGCATAAAGTTAGAAAAAGAAATAAGCCATACAGATTGGGAAAAAACCTTTTTGGGATGTTCTGTCAGGTCCTAGGATAACTGCTGAGTGAAATAAGCAAGGATAGGAGTAACAAATCCTGCCTTCAAGAAGTTTAACATGTGAGATTGACAAGAAAACAGTATTATGTGACAACATGATAAAGCAGGACACACCTAGGCCAGCAGGTGGCATAAAGCAGTTAAGGAGGACTTACAGGAGGAGGTGACTTTTAATCTGAATTTTGAAGGTTACGTATAATTTGTCCTCTCTGTGTGGGAAGGGAAGGACAATGGATTGAGGGTCTTGGAAGAAGAGTCCTCCAAATAGCAGGGGAAGCAGTTTCAAGAACATGAAGTTCATCTAGAGACAAGAAACAGTAGGTAGTTCAAAATGACTAGACTATAGAGTAAGGTTGGTAGGGACCATCTCCTGCGGGCCCTCATATCTCCTGGTAGAATTTGCATTTTTATCTTCAAAGCACTGAGGGGCAACTGTAGGATTTTAATCAAGGCCATGCCTTTTTCAGATCTGCCTATAAGAAGGATTCCTTTTGCTGCAGCAGGTAGATAGGGTTGAAGGAGGCTGACTGAGAGCCAAGAAGACCATGGTTTAGGCAAGGAGAGCCCTAATGAAGTAATGGCAGAGGGCAAGGAGGAAAGAGGTTGGGTTGAGGATGTAGACAGAAGTAGACAGAAGCAATGGAGTTTGTTATCAATTGGATTGACGATAAGAGCTATAACAATTCCTAAGTTTCTCTATCAGGCAACTGGAGAAATACTTTACTCTTTAATATGAATATAGGGAAACAGGAAACATTTTTATGTATCAGTTTTCCCTTATAGGACTATTGGAGTGTTTGAGCAGAGTTAAAATATTAACAAGTCTAATTTTTTGGGCCTCCCTGGTGGCGCAAGAGGTTAAGACACAACCTATGAAGCTATCTGCAGCCACAGCAGCACGGGTTCGATCCCAGGCCAGGAAGCTACCCACATGGCTCAGCAGACCTCTCCTGACTCGCCTGTTACTCCCCTCAGCAGTGTATTTCAGTCAATCTGCCTGTTCTGTTCCCCACTCTGTCTCTGGTGAGTCCTCTCACCCCCCACACCTCTGTCCTATACCTCAGTTCTTATATGCATAAATAAATAAATCTTTTTTAAAAAGTCTAATTTTTAAAAATGAATATAAATACTAGCATTTACTCATTGTCTTCCAGGGAAGGATGGGATCCCTTGGTTAATATTTCCTGAATGAAGAAAAACTACCAACACCAGGGATCTGGGAGTGATCTTGTGGGCTTTAGTAACTGAATAGGCCCATAAAAAGCTAGGGGAAGAACTAGAACCAGCCCAAACCCTTCATCTGTCTGTTCAGTCAACATTTGCTGAACTCTTATTTTGGAGAAGGTCCTATGCTAGAAGACAGAGATAGGAAGGTAAATGACACAATGTCTGCCCTCAAGGAGTTTCCAGTTTAGCTTATAATCTTTGCTTTGGTGTACTAAAACTTGAAATGCCATTTGCCATTCTGCTCTCCACCTCAAGGAAGTGGCAGGTAGTACAGTGCAGCTAGCTCTCTAGCTACTGTGACTGTCCTCGTACACTTTTTCTGGGAAGGCTTGGGCAACAGGCAGCAAGAGCCATAGACATGTCCCTACTCTCTTGATCTGTTCGGGAATTTATCTGGAAGGATTATGTGAAATAGGGACAAGGATTTATGTAAGGGGTGTTCATTGCTGTTCTAATAAAATAGAGGGCACAACCTAAACTTCTAACAATGAAGAAATGGTAAAATAATTGAGGGTACGTCCCTATGATAGGCTACTAGGTAGTAATCAGAAATGTCAAAAAAACACAAATCCTACTGATTGTAAACAACCAATCCGGGTCTCTGGCAGGTGCCCAGAAAGCCAAACTCTGAATCAGTATTTTCAAGTTTTTGACAATGTTCATGTTGCAGTATTTCTACAAACAAGACTTTTTTTCCTTCTTTCCTTTTACAGACATAATGGCAAAGGAAAAAACTATAAAGATAACCAAAATGACCAAGATTTTGGGAATTCTGTTGCAAAAAGACTGACCAAAATTAACTGAGTTTCACATCTAATGTGGCAAGGGTTGAGTGAAATGTCACTAATATTAGCTGCAGTACAACTGGCTGTGTGCCAGCGGCCAAGTAGGTTTATTTTTTCTATTTTTCAGGGGTAAATATATGATTAATTGAAATTTATGATGTAATTGCTCCAGGTGTATCTTTCCCTGGAACATCTGTTTGCCATCCACAATATATATTCCTTGTTTACTGCCAGCAACGAGGGTGCCTTATTATCTGCAATTTGTGTGTACATACACACATATATATATTTATTTCTGGTTCACTTGAGTCCCTTAAGAGGAAGCATTTGGTTTTTTTGCACCCATAAAGGACTGCGGCATAAACAGTTATTTCTAATGACTGTCTGCTCCAGGCGGTAAGACTTCGAGTTTGTGGCTGTCAGTGCAATCTGCAGGCCCCTCCACCGCCTTTGCTGTGCAGCGGCTGACCCTAGTCAACTCAGATGTCACTCTCCATTGCATTTAACTGCATCCCACTTTTTCCTGCAGACCTTACCCTGCATGCCCTCTGTAGGGGCAATATTGGACACAGTGCAGGTTTTCTATGATCCCATGCAGACGGGGTAAAGGAGGAAAGAGTCCTGGAGACCTCGGTGGCATTTGCTGGCTTTTATTGGGGCTCACCAGGCAGGCGGGAGTGCTGGGGGGCCGGGAGGCTGGCAGGCCTCCCAGCCCCCAGCAAGTCTTCACTCTATCTGGGCTCTCTGGAGTTCTGCTTCTCTCTCGGCTTCTATTTCTCTGCTTCTGCTGGTGTCCCTGTGAAGCCGCCCCTAAAAGCCCAGTCTCAGCCCAGGTGAATCCCATCTACCTATGCCCACACCCTACTCCAGGTGCCCGCCATCAGGCATGCATTCAGGACCGCAGGGATCCGTCATCTATCCTGATGGCGGGAGGGCAGAAAAGCCTGACACTTTTACCTTACCCTACACCCTCCCGGGTGCAAGGGCCAGGCCACTCCGGCGGTCTGACCTTGGGTCATCTTCAGCCGCGGCCTCTCGGCATGACCTTGGGCAAACCCCCACTCCCCCTCCGCGGGGCCGCGCGGCTGGAGCGCCGGGCTCCCGCCCCAGCCGCTCCCCGTCTGCGGGAGGCAGAGCGCGCCCTCCTTCCCTCGCGCTCCCACCGCGCGCGCCCCACCATCCCCACCCCTACGCTCCCGGCGTAGCGGCCGCCTCGCATCGAGCGACCCTCTCCTCCCCGGCGCACGTTTACGCCGCGCGGCCTGGGAGGGCGCGATTCCCGAACGCCGCCTGCGCCGTGAGCGCGCAGCTGTCAGGCCGGCCGGCGCGGCCTTACGCCGCTGACGCAGCGCGCCCAAGATGGCGGCGCGGTCGTCGTCGGGGGTGGCGGCGGCAGAGGGGGCGGCGGCCGCGGCGGCAGCTGCGACGGCAGCCGTGACGGCGGAGACGGCGCGGAGCCTGGGCCGGGGGGCATGAGGCGGCCGCGGCAGGCGGGTGGCGGAGCCGTGTAGCGGAGAAGCGCCCCCCCTGCTGCCCTCGCCGAGCCGGGGGCGCGCGCGCACGGCCGTCCGGAGCGGGCTCCCCTCCCCTCGCCTCCCGCGCCCCGCGCCGCACCCCCACCGGGCCCGGAGGATGATGAAGCTCAAGTCGAACCAGACCCGCACCTATGACGGCGACGGCTACAAGAAGCGGGCCGCGTGCCTGTGCTTCCGCAGCGAGAGCGAGGAGGAGGTGAGGCGCGGCGGGCGGGCGGGCGGGCGGCGGGGGCCGCGGGCCGGGGCGCGGGGGGCGCGGCCGCGGGGAGGGTGTGCCCCGACTCCCGCCGGCGCTCGCTCGGCCCCGGGATTCTGACTGAGCCCCGGGCGGGGCGGGCGGGGCGGGCGGCCGCGGGGCCGGGCCGGGCCGGGGCGGGCGCGCGGCCGGGCACCTGAGGGCGGCCCCGTCGCGGGGAGGCGGCGGCGGGCGCGCGGGTGGCCTCCGCCCCGGCCCCGAGGGTCGCCCCGCGCCGGCCCCGCGGCACGTGTGTGCAGAGGCCGCGCCGCCCGAGGCGCGCGCCGGCCCTTTGTGGCGGAGGAGCGCGCGGCGGCGGGCTCGGGGCCGGCCGGGGAGCGTGTGGGTCCGGGATCCCGAGGCGCGGGTTTGGGGAAGGGTCCGGGCGTTGTGTGAAAGCCACAGCCTTTGGTTGTGTACTTTACCAGGCGTGTGATGGGGCTGAGGAGAAAGGACATCGATGGGCTGATTTCTGTGGGCCGCACAATTTTCATTTTAATTGGGGAGGCCAAAAGCGTTAATAAGATCGCTGCCCTGACATTGCCTCCATTGTCCGGCAGGAAAGCTTTTGGAATTCAATTTGCTAGTAAAATAGAACTGCTTAGAAGCAGTTTCTTTCCCTTTCCCCCCCCCCATGGGATATTTCAAAAACAAACCGCCCAAACCCTCCCCTTCCCCAAGCTGTTTCTGTGATAAAAGGGAATTCAGAGAAGGTACATGTCTTGTGGATCCACAAAGAATAGCTGCCTTGGAAATGCAGAAGATGCCTCTGGAAACGCATTTCTCTCCCGTGCCCGGTGGTAAAATGGCAGTTAAACTGGAAACAATGAAGGACAGTGAAACTCAATATGTTATATTCCGGCACTCAGCAGTGGGCTGTGGTGGCAGGGCTGTGAGTACAGTGTGCACCGTGTGGAAATGCGGGGACAGGAACTTGACCCGTTAGTTATGAGAAGCTGTGGTGGAAGAGAGGCGATTGCCAGAAGTTGCTGTCCAGAGATATTTAGGCGGAAGCGGGAATTTAAATTATTCCCTAAAAAAATTTCGTGAAGCGCTAATTGTGCTGTTGAGGGGTAGTGTGTTAGCTTTCAGCGAAACAGAAAGGGGATTTGGAAATGTATACTTTGTGTTTCCTAGCATCTTTCATAAAAGTCCCCAGATGCATTGTAATAAGGGTGCTAGGAACCTCCATGCTGTAAATTTTGTACCGAGTTAAGTAAAGTAAAATTATTGGTGGTGTTTACTGCACCAGAGGCTTTGTTCTCTTCATTATCATATCATATTATGGGAAATCAGATGGGATCACAGGCTGTTAACTGGAGGGAAAACTAATTAGCATAATAACATGTCTTGTTACAGTACTATGGTTAAGTCTGTGAGCACCCCAATTATAAGTAGAAGGGTGTATAATTTAGTTGGATGAATGATGCAAGACTTTATTTGTTAAAAAAAAATCATACTGGTAATTGAGAACATGTGAATATTTTGGATAAATTGAATATCCTTTATAGATCATCAGCAAAATAAGGAAGATCTGATTTTCCATTTTCTGTTTAAGTTTTTTTATGTACTGACATTAGCAGCACTCATGTTAAAACATTTGATCATGGAGCTTTCCTCTACCCAATTTCTTGTCGAGCATTGGCTAATGAGCAGAAGATTAATGCAAATCTTTCATTTTAGGTTCAGTTGATGTTACAGCTAAAACCTAGGAAAGAAATTAATGAAATGGGTTCACTTTAGACTTGTTCAGTTCAATGAAACAAGTATGTGTTAAGAACCTACTATGGGTACATTAGTCTATAAGGTGGGGTTTAAAAATAAATATTCCTTCCTGCCCCAAAAAAGTTTAGTAGTTTTCATTGGGATTTCTTAATTGGGCGGTATTTTGGACCACAAAATAATCTCTAGGGTGCTGTTCAACTTTCAGATTATATAATTGTGTTGGAAGGGAAGTAATTTGTTAGTTCCAGGAGAACTTTTATGTTCTCAATAAAAGTGCCCCTAACTGGAAGTATTAAGTGCCACATATTGTGTGAATGTGAGGTCCAAATTCAATAGGACGTTAAACCCAATTTTTTTTTTTAAGGGGCACTAAAGGCTTTAGTCAAGATGGAACAGTTTACAGAATATTACTAGCATTAATATAATAGTAATGTAACTATAAATAGGACCTGATTCATAAATTTAATTCGATAGTTTCAGGAAACATACAATGTAAAGCGAAATAGATGGAATATACTAGCAGATAATAGATCATGAATCAAAAACCGTCTAGCATTCTGTTTTTTTCAGCCCCCACCCCCAAATTATAGGCCAGTAGTAGTAACAGGTGAAATACTGAGCCGGGTTAGGATGTGTGTGACCATAGTCAGCAAATTTATTGAGCAAGTTTATGGAGCACTCACTGTCAGGTTCTGTAAAACTGTTATGAAGGAGGCAGGCATGCAGGGAGTTTTAAAATCTAGTGGGAGAGAAGGAAGCAGACCCAATAACATGATGAAAATGAGTTCCGTTTTCTCCAAACCTCTAGCTGCTTTTCCTGTTGATAAACAAGAACCACAGCAGGAGAATCCCCCTACTAACAGGTTTTTTGTATTGACATTTTTATGTTAGAATCTTTTTTAAAAACATTTTTTAAAGATTTATTTATAAATACAAGAACTGGGGTACAGGCTGGAGGGTTGCGGGGAGGGGGGTGAGAGGATTCACTAGAGACAGAGTGGGGAACAGAACGGCAGATTGACTGAAATATACTGCTGAGAGGAGCAGTGGCCGAGTTAGGAGAGGTCTGCTATGCCATGTGGGTAGCTCCCTGGCTGGGGCTGTGGATAGCTTCATAGGTTGCATCTTAACCCCTTGCGCCACCAGGGAGCCCTTTATGTTAGAATCTTTAAGATTTGGGCATTTGTGATAACTAACATTTCTAGTATAGTACTTTGAACCTGATGTATAGGTCTCGCCCAACCTTAGCTTTAACCAGTTTGGCATATTGAAGGCTTGCTGTCGTTATTCTGCAAGCACTTACTCTCATATGCCTGCAACTCTGTGGGCTCCTACCCAGTCATGTGCTCTCAGTGTCACTTGTATTGGTCCCTCTTCTATTTATGCTTATCTGGTTGTTATGATGCAGTGTAATTAAGTATGATGTAAACTAGTTACATTTCAGTTCAAAAAGAATCATTTTGTGAGAAGTATTTTCATTGCTTTGAAATGACTAGATGATTTCAGGCCAATAAAGAAATGACTGCTCAATTACATGGATAAGCAAACTCATAAAGATTGGGGAGGGAATCTGAAACGTCTCAGAGGACTCTGCACATAGGTTACTGATAGGATGTTTTCAGTTTTTTATTCTGAAGAGAAACTAGAACTGGAAAGTATGGATGTGGTGCCTGAAAGACAGCTACAATAAACATTCCTACTCCAGATCCTGGCCCTCCAGGATACAGCTGTATTTTAAATCTGCCATATATACTAATTACTATTTTATCATAAACAGTTCGGAAGGCTGAAGCTTATCTTGAGTATGGTTTTATTGTACTAGATTAGTAAATGTGACTTTTATATTGCTCAAAGTACTCAACTTTGGCCCTTCTAAAGCACTTCTAGTGAGATTCTCCCTCTTCCTTACTCCTTTCCTTTTTTGGAGCCTCTGTGAAGACAGGAATTGAGAGATACTAGGAGTGAAACTGGGAATTTTCCGTGTACCCTCCCTGAGGCAGAGTGGGGGAATGTATCACAGGTATTTTAGATAGTTGAAATATCTAGTAGAGTGAAATACTCTTTTCGTCAGGTGGGTGATACAGACTGTACCTGGGAAAGTGGAAGCTACTCCTAGAGGGTCTGTTTTTACTGAAGGAAAGTGAAGTGAGCACTGGTAGTACTGGTAGGAGCCTATCAATTAAATTTCCCCTTGGATTAAAACTGTTTTTAGGGGGCCTCCCTAGTGGTGCTAGGGGCTAAGTGTAAGCACTGTGAAGCTATCCGCAGCTACTGCAGCAGGAGGTCGATCCCCAGCCAGGAAGCTCCCCAGTGGCGCAGCAGACCTTTCCTGGTTCGCCCGCTGCTCCCCTCAGCTGTGTATGTCAGTTAATCCACCTGTTCTGCTCCCCACTCTGTCTCTGGTGAATCCTCTCACCCCCCACACCTCTGGCTTGTCCCTAGTTCTTGTATGCATAAATAAATAAATCTTAAAAAAAAAAAAAAACTTTTTAAAAAGAAAGGATAAAACCGCCCATAAGGGTGTTAGGACTTTTTTGTTGTTGTCGAGTTTTTTCCATCTGGAATGCTGCATTTCTTGGCAAGGGGTTGCTTCCCTTTTCTCAGATCCCTGAGTTCACCAGGTTGGATGGGGAATGATTGATATTGAAGATCCTCAGTGGGCAGAGGCTCTGGTGGCCTGAGTGTTTGTCAGTATAAATTCCCCAGAGGAGTAGATGGAAGGACGTCACTGCAGACCACACCTTTCCGTAGGCTCTAGAGAGGGGAGTAAGGCTCAGGTGGCAATCCCAGAGGTGATAACCATGACGAAGGGCTTCCAGTAGATCCCAGGCTGGTTGGGGAGTCCTTTTGTAGCATATTTTGGTCATTGTCCAATATTATGTTGCTATAAGATCACAGTGGGTGCGTTGATCCAGTCATCTGTCCAGACATTTCTGCTCCTCATTTATCTGAATCTTTCTTGGAGGGGTGTGTTGGGGGTGTTGCTTTTCCTTGTGCCTGCCTAATAATACCCTTAGTCAGACATTTCACCTATTACCTCCTTTCCTCCCTACTTCCGTAGATGTAAACTCTGATCTGAAATCATACAGCTTCATTCTCTTACTTTTTTACTCTTAGGTCATTTATCTTTTTTTAGTAACACTGTGTTGTATGAAGCAATGTGTAAAATATGTGTGTGGAATGAAGCAATCTATACTTTTCTTCATATTTTAGTACAAGGGACTATTGAAGTATAG